AGAAGCAAAATCAATGGGTTTAGAAGGTCTTCCATGACAGAGTTGGGGAAGGAAATGCTGGTGATGAGGATATGGAAGACTAGTGATCTCTAAATAGAAAGGAGCCCTAATGGATTCAAGGAAACATGTCGAAAATCAATGAAATTAGTTAGAGAAAGAAAGTTGGGAGAGGTTCTTGAAACCATGTGTCTTTGAACTTGTAGGTCACCTCGATGCATTTGGGCTTGGCTGATTGTTTTCCAGTGGGAAGGTCACTTCCTGACATTTTTTAGTACCAGAGAAGCCTTTTTGGGAAGAGTAACTAGAGTTCATTTCTTATTTGGCCTTGTAGAGCGTGTGATAGTCACAAAACATGATTTTAAAGGACACAATTAGATACCTAAGGATTTATAATCTGGTTTTGCTTTAGTTTTGCTTGCTGTGTGGGAACCTACATAAAGATTTCAAAGAAGAGCCCTTTCTAGTTCTTCCTGGGTACCAAAGTCTGAATCTTTGCTCTATTGCAGTGGTCCCCAACCTTGGGCCTCCAGATGTTCTTGGACTTCAACTCCCAAAAATCCTTGGCAGCAGAGGCAGTGGTGAAGGCTTCTGGGAACTGTAGTCCAAGAACATCTGGAGGCCCAAGGTTGGGGACCATTGCTCTATTGCATGAAAAACAGATGTTGAACCACTGTGCTTCAGCTCTTTCCATTGAAATAATTATGATCAATGTTGACATTTGCTTTTGCTTTCACTTTGGTGAATCTGTGTTTCTACTGCAAACTTTGGTGTAAGCTTTCTCTCTCTCTTTTCTGTTGCGATGATGGTGCATTCTGTCCCTTCCCTGTATGCACTGCTTTTCTCAGGTGGATAATTTTAGGGCCTAAAAAAAAGACCCTTAAATAGAACAGGGTCTTTGGAGTAATCTTTTGCAATCCTTACTCTGTAGCCCATAGGCACCTGAGTCTGGCAACGATGAACAACAGGAGATTGTAAAAGACAGATTCCTTGCTCGTGGTGTGTGTAAAACCATGGCTTCTCAGGATGTTGCAAACTTCTTCCAGCCGCTTTCCTCCTGGATGTCGCGGGTCTATGAAGCTCTCCAGGAAGCAGGGGACTCTTTGGCTTCTTCTTTGACCAGTTTGGGAAGCCGAGCAGAACGCTCTACAGTTGAAGAAGAGGATGAGGACTCAGGAGACTGGAGTGAGTCTTACGAGCGTTATTCTGAAGCTTCAGATGATGAAAGCACCTCTAGCCAGGACAGTGAGGAATCTTATCCCTTCTCATCATCTGAGCATGACCCTGCTTCATTGGAGTCTTCCTGTGCTTCAGAGCTGAGCTGGAAAAAAGGTGGCCTCCCCTTGGATGCACATTCTGAAGATGATGATTTGTTGGCATCCCATGGAGTCAACCAAAGTTACAAGGGCCACCAACTTACAGAAGCCCTCCCCACCATCCCTGAGGAAGAGGAGCACCTTCCTTTCTCAAAGAGTAAGAACTGTTCACACAGCTGGGATGGTAAGTTTATGTCATCTGGCAGCAAAATGCTGCAATTTTTTGAACCGTCTTGGCATGAAAAATGGGACTGCTGCCTTAAATGTGAAGCCTGTGTCAAGCTTCACTCCGTGACTTGTTGTTACCTGGTGTGTTTCTTTCTTCTTTAGCAGGAAAATGCATTATACAATGACATTAGGATATGGGCCACTTTGTGTTTATGAACTGTTATAGGGTAGGAGGCAATCCTGTCTTCAGAGTGAACTCTATGTTTACCTCCACCTTTTACTGCCATCCACCTTCCCTATACAGTGGTACCTCACATTACGACATTAATTCGTTCCAGCGAAATCGCTGTAGAATGAAAACGTCATAAAGCGAAAATAAAAAAGCCATTGAAACGCATCAAAACCTGGTTAATGCGGTCCAATCGGCTAAGAACTCACTATCCAGCGAAGATCTTCCATGGGGCGGCCATTTTCGGGTGCCAGTGCAGTGAAAACTGGCTCCTAAACAAAGTAGGGAGCCATTTTGAGCACCCGGCAGCCATTTTGAAAACCTGACGGTCAGCTGTTTTGATTGTCGGGAAGCGAAAATCGGTTCCCGAAACAGGGAACCGATCATCGTGGAGTGAAATTCCCCCATCAAAACCGTTGTTTTGCGATCGCTTTTGCGATTGCAAAAACCTCGTCGTAATGTGGATTCGTCGTTAAACGGAGCACCCGTCTTGCGAGGCACCACTGTATAGTAATTTTGATAATCAGTCTTTGAATGGGATGAGTACAACATCCCCAACTACATGCTTACTACCAAGTCTCTCTTTTGCACAGGGCAAAAGCTGATAGTAATAATTCACTGCTGATTGTGGGTCTTAGTTGGAGCAGCTTTGTTCCTGCTCCTCTGAGTGCATCTGTTTGCACCAATATATTTGGTACAAGAGGAATGCATTTCACATTATGAATACCAAGAAAAACAGTTGATCCAGAAAACTGGGTATAGGGGAGTGGAGAATCACCCTATATTAAGATACACAGTCTGTTCCCATGCTCGCACAAATAGATCTCTGTGCACCTTATTTGGATGAGCTAAAGTTAAAGGTCTCTCAAAGTAGAATATTTTTAAAGAGAGATTGCATGAGCCGGTTGAAACAGACCTTTGTGACTTGCAACAATATTTTCCTACACATCTCTCCTCTAGCGTGGGTAGATGATCTCTTGGCGGTTGGAATGTGTGTCACCAGTTTTCAGGTGGGCTCTTGTGTATTCAGTTTTAAGCAACAGACATAAAAATGGCACTAGCTATCTGACTTTGTCCTCAGACCCCATTACATGCCCTGGTTCTGAGGACTGCTACCAGAGATTTGAACAAACGCTTAGAGGCTTGTCTTGTGTTACACTGGAAACAATCTGCTATGTATAAAAGGAGTCCATTCCATCTCAGATCACTTTTCTGAGCCAAGCTTACGTCTTGTAAAAATCAGGATTTTCAACGCCTTAATTTCCCCATGTTAAACATAATACAGTGGGGTCTCTACTTAAGAACTTAATCCGTATTGGAAGGTGGTTCTCAAGTTGAAAAGTTCTTATGTTGAAACTGCATTTCCCATAGGAATGCATTGAAAACCATTTAATCCGTATCTGCTCTTTTCCGTCCATAGAAACTACAGTGGAACCTCTACTTAAGAACCTAATACGTTTTGGAATGGTGTTCTTAAGTTGAAACGTTCTTAAGTTGCTCTAGCGTGGGTAGATGATCTCTTGGCGGTTGGAATGTGTGTCACCAGTTTCCAGGTGGGCTCTTGTGTACAGTATTCAGTTTTAAGCAACAGACATAAAAATGGCACTAGCTATCTGACTTTGTCCTCAGACCCCATTACATGCCCTGGTTCTGAGGACTGCTACCAGAGATTTGAACAAATGCTTGGAGGCTTGTCTTGGGTTACACTGGAAACAATCTGCTATGTATCAAGGGAGTCCATTCCATCTCAGATTGCTTTTCTGAGCCAAGCTTACGTCTTGTAAAAATCAGGATTTTCAACGCCTTAATTTCCCCATGTTAAACATAATACAGGGTTCTTAATCTGCTACTTTGGACATGGGAACTTGGAAAATTCTCCTGCTGCAGAAATTAAACATCCCCTGTCGTTCTTTGTGACACTTTTAAGATTTCTGCACTGCATTTCATAGGGGAACCTGGCAGTTCTTTCGCCTTACAGTGGTGCCTAGCTAGACGATGATAATCCGTTCCATTGAAATCGCTGTCTAGCGAAATCATCGTCTAGCGAAAAGCATTTCCCCATTGGAATGCACTGAAACCTGTTTAATGCGTTCCAATGGGGAAGAATCATCGTTGTCTAGTGAAGATCGGCCATAGGAAAGCCGCTTTGCGAACCGCCGATCAGCTGTTTATATTGCTGGCTTACGAAGCTTAGGTCCCGAAAACACCTGTTTTGCGAGCGCGGAGGGAGCTGTCAAAATCGTTGTCTAGTGAAAATCGGTTTGTGAAGCAGGGACCAAACATTGTCCAGCGAAATTTCCCCATAGGAATCACTGTTTTGTGAATCACTATAGCGATTGCAAAAAGTCAATGTCTAGCGAAAAAACTGTCATGCAGGGTAACTGTCTAGCAAGGCACCACTGTATTTTGGTTTTGGGTTTGAGTTGAGGGGTTCTGAAATACTTTCTCCCCTTTTTTGATGGGCTTTACAAACCCCCACAGTCCCCCCCCCGAGTTTTCCTTTAGAGAATTTTGCCAATACCTCTAATTGTCACTGTTTTTGTGGAGAGACTATCCACCTTGCATAAGCTGCTTGGCGCACACTGTCCTGGAATGTTGAGTGCTTTTATAAGGGACATATTTCATGATGTGTTTAATCTCTTAGACTCAGTGGCTGAAATCCAGCAGTATGTCACATCAAGAGTAGGTCCTTTGAATTGAATTTCTGTTTGTTCAATGGGACTACTCTAAATGCAACTTGCCTCTAGGTTTCAGCCAGTGACTCATTTTTTTGATGCCACAGACTTAAATGTACAGTATATTACATGTAAGCCTTTTACCTGTCATGGAAGTACCGTAGGGTTCCAAGTACTGAAATGTGGGTATCAAATTTCGATACTGTTGTGAATTAGCTGATTGGCAATGTCATTTCCTTGAGCTTTCAACTGAGGAAGCATCTTCTGGTCTTCTGCTGCTGTTCCATGCCTGCAAAATCAAAAAGGGGAAGCTTGTTTCATGGTATCAGGAATCTCAGAATGTTAAAGATACTGCACAACCACTTGCCTCTCCATGCGCCCGATGAGAAATGCACCCTGGTATTCCTGCCATTTCTCAAGGTGGACTCGTTTTACAACAGAAGAATTGAAAAAAATATCTTCCGAATTGCAAGAAGAGATGCAAACGAGATGTGTCAGAGGTTTGTGCGGCGCAAAGTGAGACAGAGAACAAGACTGAATTTCATGGAACATTTCATTGGACATGTACGAGAAATTAACTTCTAGGATTCTGAGATTAAATACAGGTTCTACTTAAGCAGTGCAAATAATTGTCACTTCGCATGGTTATTTGCTTGAAAGTGCAATTAGCGAAGCTGGAAAAAAAACTCTCTGAGCTTGACTGGTCTTTTCAGAGCACATCCGGGTGTCCGAGGTCAACCTCCTTTTGTTCTTCTGTGCCATTTTTTTCTGCCTCTCCAACTTGCCCTCGTGCTGGTGGTGGCAGGACTGCCCACCTCTTCTGCCTTTTTTTTTTTTAAAGCAAAGCCCCTCTCCCTTTATTCAAATCTATTATCAAGACTCTCCTTTTTATAAAAAAACTTACTTGAGGCAATTGACCAGCCATTTCTTTTCCAGTCTGAATCAATGTTTAGACGCTTATCTCTGTTTGTAATGTATGATTACTTAAAAAAAAAAGCTTTGAGGTACAACATGAAAGGCAGGGAATCTAAAATTGCGCTTATTTTTGGTCATCCCAGTGTGTGTATGTGTGTGTGTTTGAATAATAAAGAACATCAGTTACTTAATTTTATTTGTTATATGTATTTCCTACTTTTCCTTGATTAAGGTCAAGGGGATATATTTCCCTCTCTGCCTCCTCCTCTTTAAATCATTGCAATAACCCTAGACCATGTTTAGAGAGAATGCCTCGCCCAAGTTTACTGAATGCGTTTCTATCACAGAGATAAATTGCGCCTGGTCCCAGAGGAGCACTTTTACCACAGTGTAACACTCATGAGATATTACTAATCTTAACTAAGAGCAATGCTTTATCACTATTATTTTCAAAAATCTATTGGCCTTGTTTATAGCTCGCTTTTCTTCCAAGGCGTTCAAAATTGTTTCATTCCTATAGCATCCCTGTGAGATATAAAATAAATTTATTGTCATTGTAAGTATATACATAGTATACCCATACAACGAAATTCACACAAGACACCAAGAGGCCAGACTCACATGCGCACATATAAAAAATCCCCAAACACTCCCCACCCACTAAAATCCCCCACGAAGAATAAGAATACAGAGGTAGAGGAAGATCTAACTACTGCAGTACACAGTCCCTTCTTCCTTTGCATGCCTACATATAAATGCCTCACATGCAGATTCTAGTAAATAAGGAGAAAGGTGATGTGAAAACATTTGCAAGTAGATAGCTAGACAGTGTATGTTTAGTTCCGCAAGAGCGAACGTTTGGATGAACCATTGCATTCATTCTCCACTTGTTGTGTTACACACTGGAGTGAACAGTACTACATTCTTGGTTCTAATTTGGGTTTTGCTGGCAACCACCTCAGTCAAACAAAGATTAGTTAACATAATCAGCTCCTATTCTGTGATCTTCAGCTTGCCCAAGGCTACATAGGCTGTCTGTCCAGGAGACACAGTGAAGAATCAAACTTCTAACCTCTAGCTCAGTCCAGCCATCATTACAGAACTACAGCTGACTATGTTAACTGGAAAGAGAGAAGTTGTGTTAAACCAGTTGATTCACAAGATCGCTATCCCATTAAAGCCAAATGGGATGAAAAC